GCACCGTAAAAATAACTGGATACCTGAACAGTTATATACACGTTTTCCATGCCCTACCATTAGATAGTAGGAAAATTTAAACACTGTACTGCAGTTACATACACAACTTGCTCCACAGTCACAGAAGCAGCTCTTAAAAACACACTTTTTCATCACAAAGGAACATGGTTTTTTTTTAAACCTGAAATTCTTGGGTAAATGACTTTTTAGCAAAGCTATTTATTACAAACCCATTACAGCCTACCCTTAACAGGCATGTCTCCTACATAATTTTCTACACAAAACTGAAGTTTGAAAATCATATAGTAAGAAGCCTGGACTACCACTTCAGTTAGTAGCCCAAGTTTCAGAGCATGTTATAGTACAAAACTTTTCCCACTTATACAAGTCCCTCACAGAGTCACAACAGCTTCCAAAAGAAGGCGGACAGTATCTGCCAAAACAGTGACTGTTTCAGATTGTGCTGTTCAGTCCTATTGTTATGATAATGTCTGAAGGCAAGCCCAAATTTGGGCTCAGCAGGCACTGTGAACACACAAAGCAGTATGTGTGGGAAAGTGCTAAAAATGGTTTCAGCAAATGCTGTTTGTGGCATGAACCAAATTCCTACCAGTGAGACAGCTCCTATACGTAAAGACAAACTGTATCACACGTAATGCACACACATAGCCAGGTACACAGACCCTGCTGGGGTAAATCACAGTAGATGAATATAAACAGGTAATACCTGAATGGAACAAAAAACTTGAACATTTGGTTAAAATTCTCCCGTTTGACAAATCTGCAGGGTCCATCTTAAACGGGCTACCTGAGCACAACCAGCAATAATCCCACCAGGGGACTTTCTTTGTTGCACTGCTTCATCAGCTGTTCTCCCCTCCATGACATAAGCACGTGAAGAAACATCAGATAGGGGAAAGTATCCCACTTTCAGACAGCAATGTATGTGCCACCTTTGAGTCCTGCCCTCCACAATCTCAATCCTGCCCTTTTCTCTGCTGTATCAAGTGTACCTAAACTCCAGCTAAGCATGCAAAATATAAGTAAACATAACGTGCACATATACAGACTGATTCTTTGCTTAAAAACCATTCCCCTTTCCCTCATAATATTAAACATACAGTTTTGTAGGCAGGTAGGCTGCAGTATCATCTTTGCTCTTGATGATGTCATTACACTTGTCAAGTGTCTGAAAAACAGTAAATGTGTCTCCAATGCTGTAGAGAGCAGCAAGATTTTTTGCTAGTAGTTTTCGCGTAGGTGGCCCGGGGGAACTGCTGATGAGTCCTGTTAGCTGTTCTACAAGTTTCTTCTGCTTTTCCTTGACATCTGTCTGTTAATGGACCAAAAATTAATAAAAAAGAAAAGTAATTTAATCCTGTGTCTTGCCTCCAACACCCAGAAAAACCTGCAAGAGATTGAAGTAAATCTTATACCACTCCTACCTGTATGCAATTCAGCAAATTGCTAGTCTCACAGAGATTTGAGATACATTCAATAGCAGAGAGATGTCAAATGCTCAGAATTAGCTATTACCCTATTTAATATTTACTTTTTTAAAACACTTACTAAAAATATAGTAATACCTGCCTAGAACATCTTTTAATCCTCTTTAACATCAAGAATCCCTGCTGTGGGAGGGAAGGTTTTGCCTTCCAAACATTTACAACAATGAAGAACTCAAACCAAGCTACGTATCATATAACAGAGAGTCATACTGATTGCCTACAATTTAACACTTAAAAGCTACGAACTAATAGAGAGACTCTTCAGGCTGAATCTGAAATCATACAATTATTACCTGGCAATTACCTGTCAACTTTCTCTAGCATGAAATTAATACAAATATTGTACAAAGAAGGGGAAAACAACATCAAATTACCTTGTTAGCAGCTACCAGCACTTTATCCAAAAATCTTAACCACTCAAAGATAAAGACCGGTCTCTTTGCTTCCGTGATTTGAGCTAACGCTTCCTCATTCAGTAACAAACTATGAGCCAGCTCCATAATTGGTTAAATTCCAGTTTTCTTGTAAATTTCTGTAGCACTCTAAAATAAAAATGTAAATATTAGTGTAAAGTATAGTACAACAGTACAAAACTTTGATTACAGTATCATGGTTCCAGCCTGCTTAGACTTGTCTTACCTAAGCATTCCCACATAAAAACTATTCACGTATTTACAATTAAGTACATCCATTAGTACTTCAGGGAACGGAGTTATTAATTGTAAAAAGAGCACCTACAGGCAACTTCAAGGTGCTAGCTCTTAGCCAAGAAAAATATACTGAAGTCTCTGTTTACAGCAAAAAAAAAAACCAAACCCACAAAAGAGATAAAAAGTCATCTCATCTCACTGTCTCCTCTTACATAAAACAAACAGAATAAGGACTGTCCCTAATCAAAACTCTTGACCACAGTCCCGAAGCCTGGGCATGAACTTGGCCACCTTCAACAAACCAGGCAAGATGGAAATGAGCCTATCACAAGTAGGATTTCCCCCCATCACAAATCTGGCAGTATTTGGGATCAGTGACCTAAGACTTCCCACATCCCACTAGCCTTGCTTTAAGGGCTGTATGAATAAGCCCTCTGGAACCCAGCAAGCCTTTCGTGTGACAGGCTGGAATAAAAGCAGCAGCCAAATCACTGCAAGTCTCCCCAACAGGCAATACACCGCAGATCAAACACCCGAGATCCTGCTCAAACAGTGAATAGGGGGGTAGCAGCAAAGCTCTACCAAAACCACGCTATCATTGTAAGCAAACACTCTGCAGACAACTTAACCCTAGCAAACCACCTTTAAACCAAGTATAGCTGTTTAACGCAGAACAACTAGGAAAAAAACCCCCAAACTTATCTAAAATCCACAAAATAAAGCCAACCATCTTCAGGAAAAAGAAAAACAGAAAGCAAAAAAAAAACCAACCTAACCCCAAAACCTGAATGCAATGATGCTGAAACTAGGCTCTCGGGCAAAACAGAAAAAGCAAAGCAACTAACGGGTGTTATGCAAGACATCATCTTTCAACAGCTTCAGCATTCCACTTGTGCTCTCAAGTGCTCACAGCTGCTTCCTCATTCGTGGTCAAACCTAATGAATTCTTTTAAGTCAAATGAAGTGATTTAAATTAAATAATTTCAATTTTTCTTTAACAGTCCCCAGATTAAACAGTAGTAAAGCACAACAGATTAATACTACAACTGTAGTTGGTACTATGGTTCTAAATTTACCTTAATGATTTGCTGCTAATGGAACTAAAGCATCAGAGTGTCTGTAATACTAAGCTTGTTCCCTGCTTTTTGGTAATTTGAATTATAGTATTTTTCACCACCTACATCTCCAGCAACAGATCAGCAATGGTGGATGAGCCACACATGGAAGCACATACAGCCCTCCCTGACTCCTCCAAAGACATGTTCTGACTTTTTTTTTTTAAAGTCATAAGGAATTGAGGAGGTGTTGCCTGTCAATAACACACAGACACATCACCTTGAAACACCTTTACATGAGAGCAGAGAGAAACACCATGTATGACAGCATGATGATTCTTTGGACATCATCCCGGAGACCTACACTGCTTGTCACACACGCACAGCACAGGGGCACTGCATGGCAGCACTCTTCCTTCCCAGATAAAAGTTTTAATTTTCTCCTGGCCTTTAGAACCATGAATCTCTTAAGACGCCTTCCACACACTCCCTCACCTCTTCATCTAAATTTAGGAAACACAAGCTCTGAGCTACCACATCTGCACATATGTTCAGCTGTGCCACTGAAGCACAACAGATCGGATACGAGAACAATTACACAGATATTCAATGAACTGAAGGCTCAGTGTCTAACGCGCAGCTACGCAGGCAGGCAACCCAACGCTCACCTACGTCGGCCAAACTTTTGCTCCAAACATCAGGAAAAAAATGCCTACCAAGTTGTACTGATTGCGGGGGGGGCTGGGTCTTACTGTGCACATCACAAGCAACAAGCCCACCGTTACCTCCCGCTGCCGGACGCAGCCAAAGGGCACCCAGCAAGTTATCATGAACCATGTCCCAGTTTGAGGCAAAACAAAACCAATTGTCTGTTCAGTAATTTTACTTGTTGGCGAAACCTCTTCTTGCAGAGCTTAAAAAACGTTCACAGGATCACAGAACAATATGGGGTTGGGACAGACCTTTGGGGATCATCTGGTCCAACCCCACAATGTTCAGATGGAGCTCCTTTCTATTCCCCAGCTGTCCCTCGGTAGCCTAACTCAACCATTTAAACTTCCCTCGAACAGGCACTTCAGCTGACCCAGAGGGCTGACAACCGGCAACCCTGGGAGCAGCGACATCCTCCCGAAGACCCGCCTCAGGTGAAACCTCTTTAGCGCCTGGGTCCTTCTCCCTGTGCCGGTTACGGTCACAACTGGTAGCTGCTCTCCCCGTGCACCTCCGCCTGGGCCAAACCCCCCCGGGCGGTTAACCCCTCCGGGCCGCGCCAGCCCCTCACCGACCCCTCAGCAGGGGAGCCGCCACAGCGGGCACCCAGGGGCGCGCTGCCTTCCGCACGCACCCGCGGCAGCCCCGCCGCCCCCGGGTACGCACGCACACACCCCCGCACACACCCCCGGCACGCCACCGCCTCCGCTCGGGGCAGCTCCAGGCGGCAAGACAGCCGCGCTGAGCCGCGGACCCGCCGCCCCGCTCCGCCGCACCCCTGGGCCGGGCCAGGCCGACACTGCCCGCCCGCCGCCCTTAACGGTCACGGCGCG